TCTCGGCTAAAATTGTCCATGTAGAAATTAAAATGTCAGTCAACTAGCTCCGTGTCTGTTCTCAGGCGGGGATAATTGTAGACAGCCAGCGTAAGTTTCTTATGCGCTAATTCGAGCATGATCAACATTTCTCATTTGAGAACATGTAATTGATACATTTGTATTACAAAACATTTGTTCGAAATCAAGGGAGACACGTTTTCTTTTTACTGTAAAGAAAAAATAATACAGTGTTGATCTTTCCTCTTTTTTTCTTTTTTCGTTTGTCGGAACCCAGTCTGAAATAGCGTTAATTGGCTTGCTTATAATAGATGTAAAATGTTTATAAAATGAATCTATTGTTAACACAAGTCAACAGTAGAGTGGCCCACGGCCTCAATTATTTGTACTATATAAACTGACCTGTTTTAACAGCAGGCTGTCACATGAATCAAAACATCGTTTATGAGAAAAGTGCTCTCACGGGCTCGCTCGTGCACAGCAAACAATCACCCAAAATAGACGTTCACGTGACAATATTCATTCACTTATTTATCAATGAAGCCATGAAAAAAATTCTTCTTTACTCGTTGGAATTTTAAAAATAAGTAGTTACGAACTAGATTAAAATTTTGGCTAAAACTCAGCGATTTAATTTCTAAGTTAGTTGATTGTAACCAATGACGTATATATTGTAACGGTTCTCGGTTCAGAGTCAACTCATGTAGTTTCGTCCTTTTTCTATCTTTTAAACCCAGTCTCGCGGCAACATACCGACACTACAATACCGTGAAAGTTACTTTTATTTAACCGCAAAACCCTGTTGTTAGTTGCCGTGTTAGTGAGTTTAGAAGTTACAATGTTGCTAGCTCTAAATACGCCGAAAATTGAGACTGGAAATTACTTGAACGAAATGTATTTTCCTTAGTCTCGATTAACCAGACGTGTATGATTATAATAAAATTGCAGTACTGGTCACAAGACTCGAATTCTAATCATTTTAGGGCGCTGCGAATTTGGCCTCGGGTTTTGGTTCAATTTAATAGGAGGATGTGGTGTACAAAACGGCTATGCCATTAATCGTGTTTAGTATGCTTATGCTTTCGCGCGTTAAAAGTGCATTTGCAATTTCTAACATGATGGTTACAACACGTTTCGGTTATTATAAATTCAGCAACAACTCATTTTTCTAGAACCGAAATATACTGAGCGCCATGGAAAACGCATCACTTAGCTGTTCGTATAACAAAATGATCCTGTAAACATATCGTATTTATTTTGCTTCTTATTGTGAACAATATTCAAGTGGGAACACATCAATAACAACACATTTGTAAACTTATGGATGTTTAATCTGTAATCAACGGTACAAAGTCAGAGGGGCAAAACCAAAAGTACGACACAGATGTCAGTAGCGCGTGTGTCCTCCACGGGCTCTTACGCACGCTGTGCAGCGACGTCGCATGGAATTTACCAATGTTTGAAAGAAGGCCTGTGGCAAATTGTTCCATTCTTGGACAAGAGCAGCTTCTAAAGCAGCAATGGTTTGCATCTGTGGTCTCCGATACAGACGGCGTCCAATCTCATCCCAGACATGTTTTATCGGTGCCATGTCCGGAGACATGGCTGGCCAGTCCAAGACATTGATGTTGTTAGCAGCCAGGTAGTCCATACTAAAACGGGCGGTATGCGGACGTGCATTATCCTGTTGGAAGTGCTGAAGTTGTGGGTGCGCTCGAAACATCGGAACAACAATTGGTTGCAAGGCATCATCACGGTAGGCTACAGCATTAACGCGACCCCTGCAAATGTGTAGGGCGGTCCGGTGATGAAATGTGAAGCCTCCCCACACCATTACACTTCCCCCACCGCATCGATTCGTTTCGAAGACGCAGCAGTCTGCAAGACGTTCCCCATGACGTCTCCACACACGTTGACGGTCATCAGCGTGATAAAGATGAAAGCGACTCTCATCACTGAAGAGCACACTTTGCCAGTCTACTCTTCTCCATGTCTGGTGTCCTTGAGCCCATATCAAACGCCGCTGACGGTGATGATCCCTGAGAATAGCTCCAACATAAGGTCGTCGTGCACGGAGTCCTACTTCTCTTAGACGACGTACTGGTCCTTGTCTTCCGACGACTGCTGCACCTGTTCGAGTCGCTGGGCGGAATCTGTCCCGCAGATGAGTGACCCGGATGTAGCGGTCTTGAGCCTGGGTTGTAACGCGTTGTGGACCAGAACGTTGACGGTCACGTGTTGATCCACTAACTCGAACACGTTCCACCAACCTTACAATAGTGGACTGATGACAATTTAAGTGTCTGCCAATAACACGTGTAGACATGCCAGCCCTGGACATTCCCATGGCTTCATTCCGTTGATTTTCAGTAAGTCTCGGCATCTCTAGCTCGATTCCTTCACACGTCCAACAACAAATTACGACGGATTGACTTTTCACAGTTCATGTACTGCACATTAAGTTGAAAACATGCTTTTAAAGGGCTCACACACAATGCTGCACGTGAATATTGGGGTTTTCATGTGCATCTCGAGCAATTTTTTTTTTGCACACGGGCTGATATTTTTTGCGTTTGGGAGCATTGTATGAAACAATAGTTCATAGTATTGCATAATATTATACATACAAAACCACCTAGTAATAAAATATTTGGGAAAAAAAGTGATGCGTTTTCCATGGCGCTCAGTGGAGACTTTTGGCAAGAGGAATTTTCCCATCCGTATCACGTATCCGTATCGTATACGTGATACGTTGCGTCAAGGTAGTTTTAGAGTTTTGGCGGATTTTTGCGTCGCGTACGTATGAGTAACTGAGCTCAACTTAGTTCTGTTTCAGCATGATGGCAGATATCTACCAAGATCACCATCAGTACTAGTCAAGTGCCTATTAAAGTCTACAATTTCACGGAGGGAATGAAGTCGCTCGACAGTCGCTGAGCTATTAAAAAAAAATTAATGTCGAATCTTATTAAAAATCTTCGACTTCGACTCGACTGTAATTTTTGGTTTCACTAATGTATCATTTCATAAAGTTTATACCCCTTTACCACAGAATAAAATCATTTTCAGATATGCAAGGTTCCGCCTCTCTAAATTTAGCACGTAGATCAACCATCATGGTTAAAATTACATCAAATATACACCTTCGTGTTCTAGAATACACAAAGATTCATAAAAACGCTATGATACAACATTTCAGCGTCTAAAAGAAGCAAAAAAAAACGTAAAAAGACACGACAATGTTATACGGATCTGTTCCGTATGAAAGCTGTTCGATACGTGCTGCCGTATCCGTGTGTCGTATCACGTATGAGAAATACACACATTGATGACGTCACTGGCAAAATCCATACGGATACGCGATACGGACCAGAAATTTACGCTTGCCAAAAGTCTCTATTGACTCGTACGTAACTAACGTACGAAAATTAATTGGTGGCTAGCTTTTTTTTTCGCACGTATACAGTGAATGGCCATTTTGCTCAGTAATCCCAGCCAGAATTTGGCTATTTTCTAAATTTGCGTTAAAGTTTAAAATATTTGTTTTAGAACTGAAATAAATTAACTATTAGTCAATCCCAACGCTAAAAACATCAACAGAATGTATATCTGAAAAAAGACACGACCGACGCACAAAATACTGCCAAGATGGCAGCCTTTATGAACAACCATTTGCAGACGCTGGCATTGTAGACGACGTCAATTCTATGAGTTGTAGATGTTATTTTTGTGAAAAATCATTGGAAGAAGAGAGAAATTGTGACTGGGCGAATTATATAGTCTTTATGGGTGCAAAGGAAACAATGCTGAAGATAAACTTATTGTTTACAATGTAGCGTGTTGTTGACCTCATGACCCATTGACATCAATGTCATGACCTGTGATGTGTAGATCACGTGATATGGATATCATGGCTATTGACTGTGTATGAGATACTTCTCCGCAGGTAGCGTGTCTCAGATGTTCAGAATGGCATTGACTGTTTCATAATTATTAAAAATATGAAAACGCGACACAATGCGTAAATTGTGCGTCTTACTTTCAAAAACAATAGCTATCTAATAGAAATTTCCAGATTAATACACAATGCGACACAACCAACCATTAAGTGGTAATTCAAACTTAAATTACTCTAATATTTCACTAAAAGATCCTTATTGTAGAACGTCCAACTTATAATATTAGGCATTTTTATGCAGGTTGTTTTTAATAACAGGATTTTCATGTGATAAAACGGATCGAAGAATTTTTCGAGACACATTGTCACCTATCGACTTCTATTTTTAGACTATCTGGCGCCTCAAATAACCCAACCATATCAAAAAGAATGCAGTTCCACCTTGAAATGGGTTCAATTGATATACGGTTTATTCTATAATTTATAAGACAGTTTCGAGCGCAATGTGTTAGGAGTAGCATTTTTTACTTCTAAGTAGATTCTTATACGGAATTCCGGGTGCAATGATAAGACATTTGGACCACTGCTGTGGAACCGATTTGAAAATGCTTCAGGCTTGTATTTTTGCGCGTGTCGTGTGCTCTGTTTTTGATGTGTATAATTTTTATATTTGTCTGTGATAATTATATGAGTACGACAAGCACTCTCTACATACTGCGTTTGTAAACCACGATATTCCCCCTTATTAGAGAGTTTTAACTATTGCATGTAAACGTTAACAAATTCAGCCGAAAAAATAACTGATAAATACAGACAATCTCTCTCTTTAACTAAGGATTGCGCACGCGTACAAATGTTAAATTCAATCGTTAATTGTACGTACGTAAAAACGAAGAATCCCGACTGCGGAAATTAAGAATTCGTTTTTCAGAGCAAAATTTGAAACTTTGATGTGACCAGGAAACATAACTCTTTTTGATGATTTAATATACTGCTCTAACGCCACTTGGGAGATCAACTTTTCAACATATTAGAAAAGCCCATCCAAATGCTTGGTGAGAATAGAATATGAATCACTGTCAGTTTATTCTTTACTTTCCAGAGCATAATACTTCAACGAGGCAGAGGTGTTATTTTGATCCCAAACTGCACGGCAAGTGGGTTCTGTACGATACAGATAGGATAGAAGATGTAACAATAGAGAGGAAACGAGCTGTTTTTAGTGCATTTGGACAATATTATTGCAGAGAAACTGGAACCAATGAAAACCAATACAAGGCGGTTTCTATCTTTACTAATGGATGGTAAGTCATACTAAATATTACCTGACAGCAACCTATAAATAACATTCTAATTAGTATTCTATATAGAATTATTTGGGGACATTTGTTGTGCATGTTATATGACATCCATAGCTCAGGATTCTTTGTAATATCAAGTTATATGCATTGTACTTCATATTGTGAACCGTTGTCTTGCAACTACGACCATCAAAAGGGCGTATGACTATATTTTCTGGAACCTTAAGATAGACGAAAAGACGCGAATAGTCCAAATTAAACGACAGTCGTTTGCGCCGGCTGAGTCCAGTATACACGGATCTAGTCACTCTAGATAGACAAAACTATTTTCTGGAACCTTAAGATAGACGAAAAGACGCGCATAGTCCAAATTAAACGACAGTCGTTTGCGTTGCGTCGGGTGAGTCCATTATACACGGATCTAGTCGCTCTAGATCAGTGATTCTCAAATAGTGTGCCACGAAATATTGAACGGCACACTAAGAAAATGTGAAAAACCACGTGACCCCAATTGAGTATTCACTGGTGTCTACTGGTAAGTTCATAGCTGTGTTTTTCTTTATTTAGTTTGAGTCATTCTATGTGTCTATGACTGTTTTTATTTTGCAAAATTCAAATATTTTTCACATATATTTAGCCAGGTTTTGCAAGGTGTGACGTTGGCACAAAAAGGTTGAGAACCACTGCTCTAGATACACAAAACTGTACATCATGGATACATTTCAACTATCTTACATAATTACGATACTCTACTATTAAATATAAATTGGGTCTGTTTTGCCCATATCTCGGTTATTTCTGAACGGATCTTCCTTCGTCGGGTCTTCAATTTGGACAAATCCCATAGGGGCTATCACTTACGGTTTTTCGGAATTAGTTTTAGCATGAAAGATTTGCGAAAGTTTTCTTCGGAGCTTTTTCGACATTCAAGATGGCGTATCTCCATCAGTATTTGAGGTATTAAGTAGAAACTTGGTAGGAATAAGGAACATGTCATAGATGCCTTTAAAATAGCATATTGCAATTTTTGTGACGGTTTAGGAAATATTCGGACATTTTTGAGGCCTTCCGATTTTTCCCGAACATGAATAGTTCTCTCTTTTTGTTCTAAACAATATTTATTCACAGAAACTGGATTGGAGAACAGGCAGAAGCCTATAAACCCCCTCTCCATAAAATACTCTTCAAAAAAGTAGGGGATATTCAGAAACAATACAAAACTGCGGAATGCACTGCTGTTTTTTTATTAGAGGTAACCAGTGTATGTTAATAACAGGCCAATTGCCTACACATGAACGTAAACAGTTCATATGGGCGGCTTATCTGACAGCCCCATTTCACTCGCAAAGAGATCCACTGTCAAAAGTGTCAGCAATTCGTCGTGGCATGCTCCTAATCAACCGTCCAATCATGATTGACCCACTCCTCTTGCAGTGCCACGGCGAATTCTTGCAGTGTTGTCCCAGACATGCTCTATAGGGGGAAGGTTTGGGCCCATGGCTGGCCAAAGGATATGGACAGTATAGTGACGCTGGAGGCAGACATTCACGACACGAGCGCGGTGGGCACGGGCATTATCATCTTGAAAGATGAAACGTCGACCTGCAGGTTGAGCAAAGGGCAGAACTATCGGTGTCAGGATGTGGTCACGGTAGTACACACCAGTGACCCATCCTTAAACAATATGCAGGTCCGTTCTGCCAGTCATGGTGATTCCTCCCCACACCGTAACAGAACCACGCCCGAATCTGCCATGCTGTCTGACGTTAACGTTTATAGCATGACGCTCATTTACACGCCTCCAAACGCGAACACGCCTATCGGTGAAATCCAGAGAAAATCTGGACTCATCTGAGAACATTACATACGCCCATCGACGATTACCCCAATTTCTACGCTGCCTACACATTGACGCCTGTTTGCCATGCTGGCGAGTTAATGGAGGCACAACATGGGCTGCATGTAGCCGATTTCTCTCATCGGCTACACGTTTACGGAAAGCTGATTGACCGTTTGTCCTCGATTTGGCAGGACCTGTGTACGAATGTATCGATCCTAGGCTTGTTTGGTGGCTCTAGGACGACCTGAACGAGGTCTATCATCAGCATTGTGTGTTTGTTGGTACCGGTTCCACAGTCTGTTGATCACAGACTGTGACACATTAAGCATGTTGGCTACTGCTCGCTGTGTAGAACCCATTTGAAGCATGCCAACAGCACGAAGACTTTCATCATGTTGAAGACGTCTCATTGCAAATTAAACTTAACACACTAAAGCAAAGATACGCTAAACAGTAAATCTTATGCAAGAACCGATAGGAAAGCAAACATGGATAAGATAAACCAGCACGCGGCAGTTTTCATCAACCCTTCCTTGAAGTGTCAAATTTGACAATGACGCCCCACCCCCCTCACGTGTATGGTACTATTGCGTGTCGCATGTGCAGCTCAGTTGATCGGTTGGGGCAATAAGTTCTTCATCTGTGAAAATACTTGAAAAGCATGTCAAGTATCCATGACTATTTATCATATCACAACCTGCATAGGTATTTGCATCTGAATATCCCCTACTTTTTTTGAAGAGTATAGTACAAACATAAATATATATTGAAAAGATGTAAAAAAAAAAGAAAAAAGTAGAGGAACGATTAAATTATAAGATGGCTATATACACTATATACACGATATGTACAAACCACAGTCAGAAGATTTATATTTCATACATTTTCATAAGGAGTTTTCAAAATCTTTGGGAGATATCGAGGAAGTTATGTACTACAAAAAATTTTTTATTCAGAATTGTTTCTGCCTTCATTTCCGAATAATACATTATGAGAATTTTGATAAAGTTGTTGGAGTTTTGATATTATCGCAGATCGTACATCTGAATGTAAGGGGCAAATTAAAAGAAAATGTTTAGAGTCTTCAAAATCGTGACCACAATCGCATGTAGGGCTGTTAGAAATATGTCTGATGAAACGATGTCCGTTTAAATCACTGCAAGAGAGTGGTGAATTTGATTTTTCCTGCTGCCAGAGTAGTATGTTGAAGGTATAATTTGATCAAGGTAGCCGAGTTTAGATTTCAAAGAGGATACAGTAGGTAAGTTTCTATTAGATAGACCGAGTAGATTCCTTTCCCTAATTGTAGATGGTATAAAAGAAGAAGAAAATAAAGATGTTCTGCAGAAATATGTTGGGAAGTTGCTTTGGCTTCGTAGTCGATAAGAATTTATATACTCTTCAAAAAAAGTAGAGGATATTCAGAAAGAATACAAAACTGCGGAAATGCACTGCTGTTTTTATTGGAGGTAACCAGTGTATGTAAATAACAGGCCAATCTTCTACACATGAACATAAAAAGTTCATATGGGTGGCTTATCCGACGGCCCCATTTCACTCGCAAAGAGATACACTGTCAAAAGTGAAAATGGACGTTTTTGATTTTTGTCTTAATAATGAGTAATTGCTCCACCAATCCTCAGACATTCAGCAATTCGTCGTGGCATGCTCCTAATCAACCGTCCAGTCACGATTTGGGCAATCTGATCCACTCCTCTTGCAGTGCCACGACCAATTCTTACAGTGTTGTCAGTTGACGTTGACGAACACGTCTCCCGATCAAATTAAACGTAACACACTAAAGCAAAGATACACTAAACAGTAAATCTTATGCAAGAACTGATAGGGAAGCAAACATGGATAGGATAAACCAGCAAGCGGCAGTTTTCATCAACCCTTCCTTGAAGTGTCAAATTTGACAATGAACCCCTCTCACGTGTATGGCGCTATTGCGTGTCGTATGTGCAGCTCAGTGGTTCTGTTGGGGCGATAAGTTCTTCATCTGTGAACATACTCTCAAAGCATGTCAAGTGTCCATGACTATCTATCATATCACAACCTGCATAGGTATTTTGAGGAAGTGCGCGCTTGCATTTGATGGGTCAATTCACAGGACAAATCCTACGAGAATAGGACTTGTTCTAAACCGACAAATTTTCCCGTTCACATGAAAGGATTTAGCTTATGGATATAAAACCTCAGGATAAATCTATTAGTGTGACTCATCCATTTTAAAGAGATACACTGTCAAAAGTGAAAATGGACGTTTTTGATTTTTGTCTTTATAATAAGTAATTGCTCCACCAATCCTCAGACATTCAGCAATTCGTCGTGGCATGCTCCTAATCAACCGTCCAATCACGATTTGGGGCAATCTGACCCACTCCTCTTGCAGTGCCACAGCCAATTCTTGCAGTGTTGTCGGTTGACGTTGACGTTGACGTCGACGAACACGTCTCCCGATCAAATTAACCCTTTCGAACCCAAGCACAGAACGGCATTAGCAAAAATTATTTCCCTTTGCAAATATATCAGGAATAGCACACTTTCAAAGGAAAAATAAGTTATTTTCGTCAATGTAAAAATTTTCGGGTATATTTTAAATGATGCCAATCAGCATCACCGGGTTTGGGACATAAAAAACTCAAAATTAACAAAGTTTTCAAAACTTTTATTAACATCCATAACATTATTCAATTTAGTTATTTTAGTTATAGTAATACAACAGTAAGACATCTGGGTGAATACAGACTCATTTTTTGTGATACAAGTAGAAACAGTTATTGTCTTTGCTGAGACATAATCCGATTCTACATTTCATACACTTTATGCGGGTCTGAGCTCTCTGACAGAACCTACATCTTAACCGAGCCTCACTGTGCTCTGGCCAGTGTCCGTACCCATCGTACTTCGCATCATTGACTGGATTAGGCATAATTCTTTTTGGGGCAGTTGGTAGGGCCAACTCATCGTCGCCAACGCTTGATCTGCCGCGTTTCGGTTTGGCGTAAATTAATCCATTGGCTATTTCTAGCTTAAAATCCACAAGTGCAAGGGCTTTTTTTGGTCGACTGTCGGGTGGAATTCTATCGAATTCTCTCCTGTACAGTAACCATGAATTAGTGACCCCTAAATCAAACAAGTAAAACAATATGCGCATATA